TTTTTTAAGATACCTGGGGGTTGTCGAATTCTCAATCTCCTGGGATAATTTCCGCCTTCTCTATCGGTCGCTTTGGAAAGGGGGGGGGAGGGGGGGGAGAAGGGGGGTGGAGGAGGGGAAGGGGGGTGGAGGAGGGGAAGGGGGGTGGAGGAGGGGAAGGGGGGTGGAGGAGGGGAAGGGGGGTGGAGGAGGGGAAGGGGGGTGGAGGAGGGGAAGGGGGGAGGAGGGGAAGGGGGGTGGAGGGGAAGGGGGGGTGGAGGAGGGGAAGGGGTGGTGGGGGAGTGAGGGGGAGGTACAGATGAGGGTGAAAGGGGGGTGAGGGAGTAAGGAAGGCTGGGGGGGGGGGGTAGATGAGGTGGTACAAAAAGGGAGATGAAGTGAGAGAGAGGAGGGGGGGGAGAGTGAGGGAATAAGGAAGGAGTGGAGGAGGAAGGAGGAGGGGGGGGGTTGAAGGAGGGGTAAGAAATGGGGGTTGGTTAATGGGGGAATAATGGGGGGTGGGGGAATAAGGGAGATGGAGGAGGGGGGTGGGGGGGTAAGGGAGGGGTGGAGGAAGGGGGGAGGGGTGAAGGGGACACGTGATTATGGAGGCGAGGGTGAAGGAGTACGGAAGAGAGAGAGAGAGAGAGAGAGAGAGAGAGAGAGAGAGAGAGAGAGAGAGAGAGAGAGAGAGAGAGAGAGAGAGAGAAAGAGGGAGAGAGAAAGAGAGAGAGAGAGAGAGAAAGAGGGAGAGGGAGAGAGAGAGAGAGAGAGAGAGAGAGAGGGAGAGGGAGAGAGAGAGAGAGAGAGAGAGAGAGAGAGAGAGAGAGAGAGAGAGAGAGAGAGAGAGAGAGAGAGAGAGAGAGAGAGAGAGAGAGAGAGGGGGGGGGGGATGAGAGAATAAGGAAGGGAGGGTGAAAGGGAAAGAGGAGGTGGAGACGAAGGAGGAAGAGAGAAGTGAAGGAAGGGGGGTGGGGGTAGTGGCCGTGCGTGAAGATCTAGGGAGCGGACAAGGGGGGGGGGTAGGGGGGGGAGAAAATAGGGAGGTTGGGGGCTCAGGGCAAGGGTGGGGGTGAGATGGTGGGGGGGTGAGATGGTGGGGGAAGGAAGGGAGATTGGAAATTGGAATTGAGATGACTGGTGGAAAGAAGGTGAGGGAAGTAATGAAAGTAAGCGAGAAAGTGAGTGAGACAGAGAGAGAGAGAGAGAGAGAGAGAGAGAGAGAGAGAGAGAGAGAGAGAGAGAGAGAGAGAGAGAGAGAGAGAGAGAGAGAGAGAGAGAGAAGAGAGAGAGAGAGAGAAAGAGAGAGGAAGAGAGAGGAAGAGAGAGGAAGAAAGACAAAGAGAGAGGAAGAAAGACAAAGAGAGAGAGTGAGAGAGAGAGAGAGAGAGAGAGAGAGAGAGAGAGAGAGAGAGAGAGAGAGAGAGAGAGAGAGAGAGAGAGAGAGAGAGAGAGAGACAGACAGACAGAGACAGAGAGAAAGAAACAAGAATGAGAGAATAAGAAAATAAAAGAGAAATCTTACAATACCAAAACTATAAACCCCACATACTACATCATGAGCATTTTTATATCTTCATAATCTATTCATAATTACAATCACATTTAATATCTCTACCAGCATCCCTTATACCTCATACCAACCACACAATCCCCGCATACCATCACATACTTCGGCAACATATAACCATACATCCAACCATGACATACCACACCATCCCTACCATACACACTTCCACACACACCATCACATCCTTTGGTACTATAAAGCATCCCTATAGACAACCATAACATACCATTGCATACTCCAACACATAAGAACCATACATACACCTGCCTCATACTATAGAAATAAACCATACGCAGTTAAAATCTCCATTGTCTATACCTCTAAACGGTAGGTTTTCATTACGATAAAGTTTGGTAATGTTAATGGTGATAACAATGATACTGATAAAAATACAAAGATAACAGTAGTGGCTGAAATAATACTAACAATATTAAATACTTTACTACTATACTACTACTAATAGGAGTAGTAGCAGTAGTAGTGTAAAAATAATGATGATAATAATAACTATAGAAAACAGCTATAACATAATAATGATACTATTACTATTGCTATTACTTCTATTACTATCACTACTACTACAACACCACTACTTCTACTACTACTATTAATACTACTACTGATGCTACTACTTCTACTAATATTGCTATCAACTTACAACGAAGATAATATAATCATGATGATAATAATAACAATGACATTAAAAGTGACAACCATAAATAATTATAACAACAGTATCATGAGTTATAACATAACAACAATGACTATGCTCAGTTGTTAATGTAGTTGTACTGAAAATTATAAAATCAGCTACAAAATTCGCAAGCGTTATAGTTACTAGTACTATACAAGTAGTCACGATGGAAAATATGTGAAAAATATTCTCATAAATATCAAAATGATTAAAAAAATATATATTGCTAGTAATCATAATACTATTTTTTATGATAATTAACCGTAATTTTCATAATCTTAAATATAAATGATAAAAACAATAAGAAGAGTACTGCTGATGCTCTCTAATGATGATGAGGATAAATGATGATGATGGTGATGATGACGGTGAAAATAAAGATGATAATGATAATGAAAGTGGTGGCGATGATGATAGTGATGCTGCTGCTGATGATGATGAAGATGAAGATGAAGATGAAGATGAGGATGAAGATGATGATGACTATGATGATGATGCTGAAGATGCTGAAGATAATGACGACGATGACGATAACGATGACAATGATGTTGATGATAATGACAAAAAGTAGATAGGAGCGACAACAAAAGTGATGATAGTAAATGCAATATTCAACATAAAAATCTGGCAGTGATTATGATAATTACAATCAGCTTAATAATACGACTGACACAGGTGATAAAACAGGTATGGCTTCCTCTATCCAATTCATTATCCATATATGAATTTTTCTTTCCTTCCGTTTACTCTCCCTTCGTCTTTTCCTATTACACTTTTTTTATCCGTATTACTCTTCATCCTCTTTTCATCCTGTCTATCTCTCTTCTTTATCAACTTTGCTCACATCGGCGGCGCCAAGAAGTCTGTCTGTAAGTCGGCAGCGCTGCCTGAGACGTGCATGGCCGTTATTGATTCCATCTTTCAGCGCTCACTTTTCGCAACATAACGCAATGACACGCTCCACTAGCTTGCAGAACGGTGACGTCATTCACCGTAGCTTCGAAATGCACTGTCGGTTTCATGATGGGGATACGCAAAGTGGCCGAGAATTTACGTTATATTTCAGCCGTCTG